GTGCACACACAAACACATGGGGCACACACACAGGTGCAGACACGCACACATGTATGCATACATGGGGCACATATGCACACACATGAGGCACACATGGGGCACACATGCATACACATGGGCGCACAAATGGGGCACACACATGTATGCACACATGGGGCACACATGCACACGCATGGGTGCACACACACACACATGTATGCACACATGGGGCACACACATGGAAGCACACACACACACATGGCTGCAGACACACGTCACACACACACACATCACACACATGGGTGCACACATGGGGCACACACATGGGGCACACACACACACATCACACACATGGGTGCACACATGGGGCACACACACACACATCACACACATGGGTGCACACATGGGGCACACACACACATCACACACATGGGGCACACATGGGTGCACACACACACGTCACACACACGGATGTGCACACACACACACGGCTGCAGACACACGTCACACACACGGATGCACACATGGGGGCACACACACACACACAGGTGCAGACACACATACGTCACACACACACATCACACACATGGGTGCACACGTGGGGCACACACACAGACATCACACACATGGGGGCAGACACACACACGTCACACACACACGTCAAACACATGGGTGCACACGTGGGGGCACACACACACACGGATGCAGACACACACACGTCACACAGACACACATCACACACATGTCACACACGTCACACACACGTCACACACACATGTCACACGTGTCACACACACACGTGCACACACGTGTTCCACATCCTCCTGCCTCAGCCCCACACCCATCCATGCTCTGCTGTGCAGCCTGCACTGATCCTATCCCCACCCGTGTGTCCCTGTCCCATCCCCCATGCCCGTGCCCATGTCCCGTGTCCGTGCCCCATGTCCCTGTCCCATGTCCATGTCTGCATCCATCTCCCCATGCCCATGTTCCTGTGTCCTGTATCCCGTGTCCATGTCTCTGTCCATGTCCCTATGTCTATGTCCCATGTCCCATATCCCATATTCCGTGTCCATGTTCCCATATCCCATGACTGCATCCCATATCCCATGCCCTGTGTCCCTGTCCTGTATCCCATATCCCATACTCATGTTCCCATATCCCATGACTGTGTCCCATGTCCTGTGTCTGTGTCCTGTATCCCATATCCCATATCCATGTTCCCCTAGCCCATGACTGCATCGCATGTCCCACGTCCTGTATCCCATATCCCACATTCATGTTCCCCTATCTCGACTGCATCCCATGTCCCATATCCACGTCCCTATCCCATATCCATGTCCCCCTACCCCACACCTGCCTCCCATGTCCCAAATCCCGTATCCCATATCCATGTTCCCTTATCCTATGACTGCATCCCATCTCCCATATCCATGTCCGTATCCCATATCCCATATCCATGTTCTCCTATCCCATGCCTGCATCCCATCTCCCATGTCCCTATCCCATATCCATGTCCCCCTATCCCACGCCTGCATCCCATCTCCCATATCCACGTCCATATCCCATATCCAAGTTCCCCTATCCCATGCCTGCATCCCATGTCCCATGTCCTGTATCCCATCTCCCAAATCCACATCTGTATCCCATATCCATGTTCCCCTACCCCACGACTGCATCCCATCTCCCATATCCACGTCCCTATCCCATATCCATGTTCTCCTACCCCATGCCTGCATCCCATGTCCTGTATCCCATATCCCATATCCATGTTCTCCTATCCCATGCCTGCATCCCATCTCCCATATCCATGTCCGTATCCCATATCCACGTTCCCCTATGCCATGACTGCATCGCATGTCCCATGTCCTGTATCCCATATCCATGTTCCCCTATACCATGCCTGCATCCCATCTCCCATATCCATGTCCCTATCCCATATCCATGTTCCCCTATCCCATGACTGCATCCCATGTCTCAATGTCCTGTATCCCATATCCCATATCCCATATCCATGTTCCCCTATGCCATGATTGCATCCCATCTCCCATATCCACGTCCGTATCCCTTATCCATGTTCTCCTATCCTATGACTGCATCCCATGTCCCATGTCCTGTATCCCATATCCCATATCCATGTTCCCCTATCCCATGACTGTATTCCATCTCCCATATCCACGTCCATATCCCATATCCATGTTCCCCTATCCCATGACTGCATCCCATGTCCCATGTCCCTATCCCATATCCATGTCCCCCTACCCCACGCCTGCATCCCATCTCCCACATCCCGTATCCCATATCCATGTTCTCCTATCCGATGACTGTATCCCATCTCCCATATCCATGTTCCCTTATCCTATGACCGCATCCCATAATATCCACTCCCTCTCCCACCTCCCTCCCCTGCCCATGCCCAGACCTACGAGCAGCGCAAGGTGGTGGAGTTCACGTGCCACACCGCCTTCTTCGCCAGCATCGTGGTGGTGCAATGGGCCGACCTCATCATCTGCAAGACCCGCCGCAACTCCGTCTTCCAGCAGGGCATGAAGTGGGTGCCCCCCCCCTTTAACCCCCCTCAAGCAGCACCCATGGGTGCCCCCCCCCCCGCACCCACCCGCTCCCCTCTGCACCCCCACAACAGGAACAAGATCCTCATCTTCGGGCTGCTGGAGGAGACGGCGCTGGCCGCGTTCCTGTCCTATTGCCCCGGCATGGGGGTGGCCCTGCGCATGTACCCCCTCAAGTGAGCTGGGAGCAAAGGGGGGGGACCCGCACCCATGGGTGCTCCCCCCGCGTCACCCCCATTCTAACCCCTTGTCCCATTCAGGGTCACTTGGTGGTTCTGCGCCTTCCCCTACAGCCTCCTCATCTTTGCCTATGATGAAGTGCGGAAGCTCATCCTGCGCCGGTACCCGGGCGGTGAGTGGGGACCCCAGAACCCCCCTCATAGGACCCTAAACACCCCCATAGACCCCAGACCCCCAACCCCATCACGTGGAGCTCAGCCCCCCCCCAATTGGGATCCATCCCCCAAATCCCCCATTTTCAAGCCACCCCCCCCAAGTACCCAACGCACCCCAATAATGGCACAGCCCCCCCCCCCCAAAGCATCCTCAGGGTTAGGGAGGTCTGAAGGGACCCACAGGGGGATGGGGGCACCCTATAAGCATAAGGGGTTGGGGGTGAAGGAGGGTGAGGGGAAGCAGAAGCCCCATAGGAGAAGGGGAGAGCCAGGAGGGGTGGGGGGCACCCCCCTGATGCCCTCCCCATTGCAGGCTGGGTGGAGAAGGAGACCTACTACTAAGAGGCTGTGGGCCCCCCATCACCCCCTGTGCACCCCCAAACTAACCCCGGGGGGGGGGGGGGGGGCACCCTCTGCTCCCCCCCCCTCATGGGGCACCCACAGGGCCCCGCCCCCCCCAATTCAGAGCAATAAAAGAGCTTAACCCCTCATGGCTTCTTCTGTGCTGGGGGGGATTGGGGGAAAGAGGGGGGGATGGAGCCCAGCTGACCCCCCCCCTTCCTCCGTCTCCCCCCATGTCCTCTGTGTCCCCAATAGCCCATGACCCCCGCTTGTTACCCATGTCCCCCCCTTGGGGCACCACATCTCGGAGTGTGGGGGTCCCCAGAACCCCCTGAGGGGCACCCCGGGGGTGGGGGGGGTGTCCATCCTCATCCACGTGTCCATCCCGTGATGGGGACACTGGTGGGGACTGGGGGACACTGGTGGGATGGGGGACTGCACCTAAATGGCACTGGGGAGGTGGAGGCCATGGGGAGGCGGTTGCCATGAGGAGGTCGTTGCCATGGGAGATGGTTGCCATGGGGACACACTGCCATGGGAAGGTTGTTGCCATGGGGAGGGGGCTGCCATGGGGACACGTTGCCATGGGGGCACGTTGCCATGGGGAGGTAGTTGCTATGGGGAGGTGGTTGCCATGGGGATGTGGTTGCCATGGGGATGTGGTTGCCATGGTGACACGTTGCCATGGGGAGATGGTTGCCATGGGGATGTGGTTGCCATGGTGACACGTTGCCATGGGGAGATGGTTGCCATGGGGACAGGTTGCCATGGGGAGATGGTTGCCATGGGGACACGGTGCCATGGGGAGGTCGTTGCCATGGAGAAACGTTGCCATGGGGAGGTGGTTGGCATGGGGACAGGTTACCATGGGGAGATAGTTGCCATGGGGAAGTCGTTGCCATGGGGAGGTCGTTGCCATGGGGGGGTGGTTGCCATGGGGACAGGTTGCCATGGGGACTGGTTGCCATGGGGACACATTGCCATGGGGAGGTGGTTGCCATGGGGAGGTGGTTGCCATGGGGAGGTGGTTGCCATGGGGACACGTTGCCATGGGGACACGTTGCCATGGGGAGATGGTTGCCATGGGGAGGTGGTTGCCATGGGGAGGTGGTTGCCATGGGGAGGTGGTTGCCATGGGGAGGTGGTTGCCATGGGGACCGGTTGCCATTGGGAGTTGCTGTCCAGGCCAGCCGCAGCCCGGGGATGGGGATTCCCAGAGGGATGGGGGGCACCCCCTGAGCACCCCCCGGGGCTGACAGGAGCTGGGGCGGGCTCATCCGCGGGGGGGGGCCGGGGGGAGGCTCCAGCGCTGCCGGGATGTTCCCGCAGCCTTAATCCCACCGGATCAACCCCCCCGCGGCCTCAATCCCGCTGGAGGAGGGGGGACCCTCCCCACTCCCCCCCCTTCATCTCCCTCACAGAGCCTGGGGGGGGGGGGGCAGGGTGTGTGTCCGGGGGGGGGGGGTGTTTTGGGGGTGCCCAACTTCAAACCCACGTTTGAGACCTGGGTGAGGGCGTGAGGATGAGGGCGGCTCCGATGGCCCCATCCCTGTGGGTGCCATTGACATCCCCAATGTGTCCCCTGGGGGGGACTGGAGAGAGCCCTCGTGCAAGAGCCCCCCATAGGAGCCCCCTTCTTGAGCGATCCCCGTGCAAGGGCTCACCCGGTCCTGTCCCAAAACCCCTTCCCAAGCCCCGCCCCCTTGACCACGCCCCATTAAGCCCCGCCCATCAGCAGGGCCCCCACCCCGTTAAGCCCCGCCCCGCTGCTCAGAGCGGCAGCACCGAGAGCGTCCGAGCGGTTGCAACGGCACCGGCACCGCCAGCACCGGCCGGTGAGTGCATGGACGGGACGGGACGGGATCGGGATGGGATCGGGATGGGATCGGGATGGGATCGGGATGGGATCGGGAGCGGCCACCGGGAGCGGAACCGGGGCCGGATGGAGATGGAGACCGCGGCCGCCGCCTCCATCCGGTCCCGATCCCGATCCCGGTCCCGCGGTGTTCACCCCGCTCCGGTACCAACAAACCGCACCCCCCCCTTCCCGTTACCCCCCCCTCGCTTCCGTGATCCCCACCCCCCCCACTCCCACTTCCCTCTTCCCGCCGTGCCGGGACTCGAACCCGTGACCCGCAGCGCGGGGGGGGGGCCGCGCTCCACCCGGTGCCACCCGGTGCCGGTCCCCACGCATGACACGGGGGGGACTCCCCCCCCCCTCCCCACACCGTGAACGTGATGTGGGGGGGGCCCAGATGTGCCCCAGATGTGGGATGCTGCGGGCAGGGGACAGAGCGGGGGGTGTCGTGTGTGTGTGCCCCCCCCTTCCGTGGGGCAGGGACTCGGTGTCGCGGGGGGCACACAAAGGCCCCTTGTGCCCATAGGGGGGGATTTAAGGGGGTGTGGGGGGGGGGGATTAATCTCGCCCTGTTATCTCCACCACAACACGGGGGGGATTAATCGCCCCCCACCCTTCCCTATGAAAGGGCCCCGCGAGGCCCCGCCCCTCGATGAATATTCATGAGGCGATTTGCATGGGAACAGTGAATGGGCAGGGGGGGGTCCCACGGGTGGGGGGGGTGGGGTTGGGCATCCCCCATCCCCCCCCCCCCACCGTTGGAGCCTGGGAATGGGCACGCAGCCACGGCGTGGGGGGGGGGGGCTGGGGAGCCCATCCCCCATCCCCATCCCCATCCCCCCCCCTGTCCCCCCCCCTCCCGGAAGGACCCAACGTCCGGCCAAGGGCTGAGTCATCGGCGGCCTTAAAGGGGCCGGACACGCTGTGGGGGGGGCGGTGGACACGGGGGGGGGGGGGGTGACATGTGAGTGTGAGCGTGGTGCACGCGTGTGCGCACGTGCGGGTGCAGGGGGGTGTTTATTGGGGGGGGGGTGCGCATGCGTGCACGTGTCTGTGTCCGTGTGTCCATGTGTCCATGTGTCCTCTGTTCCCCCCACACACACACTTCCATGTGTATCCCTTGTGGGGTGCCCCCTTCCCCCCCATACAAACACACACGCACCCCCCCCCATAGCACCCACGGGTGTCACTATAGGGCAGCGGGATGCTGCGATCGCCACGGCAACCGCATCCCTAGGGTGGGTGGCAGCGGTTGCCATGGGGACCGAGGAGCAACAGGAGATAGGGGTGACCCTCCCCCTTATACACACACCAACCCCCCCATGGACCCTGTTTGCTGTAGGGGGAGGGGGTCAGACCTGATGGGGGGGTGCGAGGCCAGGAAGGGTTCCCCCCCCCCCCATCCCTGTCATATCCCATGACCATCACATGAGTCATGGGCCAGTGGAGCGGGAAGCGTGTTGGGGGGTGACACAAACGTGTAGGGCACACATGCATGTGGGAACACACACATGCATGTTAGGGGGTGACCCACGTTGGGGTGACACATGTGTTGGGCACACATGCACGTGGGAACACACACATGCATGTTGAGGGGTGACACACACGTGTTGGGGATGACACACACACACATGCATGTTGGGGGGTGACACGTTTTGGGGGATGACATACACACACACATGTTGGGGGTGACACACACGTCTTGGGGGATGACACACGTGTTGGGGGATGACATACACACACACATGCATGTTGGGGGGTGACACACACGTCTTGGGGGATGACACACACACACGCATGTTGAGGGGTGACACACGCGTGTTGGGGGATGACACACGTGTTGGGGGACGACATACACACACATGCATGTTGAGGGGTGACAGACACGTGTTGGGGATGACATACACACACCCGTGTTGAGGGGTGACACACACGTGTTGGAGGATGACACACACACGTGTTGGGGGGTGACACACACAACCAACACACAAACAACACACACACACACACAACACACACACACACACACACACACAACACACACATGTTGGGGGATGACACACACATACGCATGTTGGGGGTGACACACATGTTGGGGGATGACATACACACACACACACATGCATGTTGGGGGGTGACACACACGTGTTGAGGGGTGACACACACGTGTTGGGGGGTGACACACACATGTTGGGGGGTGACACACAGACACACACATGTTGGGGGGTGACACACGCGTGTGGGCTGCGGCCGGGCAGCTCCTGACGCTGCTGGGCGCAGCCATGGCCGAGTACCGCAGCCTCCTGGAGGAGCTGGCCCAGAACATCACGGCCGAGGACCTGGAGCAGCTCAAGTCCGCCTGCAAGGAGGACATCCCCAGCGGCGAGAGCGAGGCCATCGCCACCGGCCACCACTGGTTCAGCTTCCTGGAGAAGCACGGCAAGCTGGGACCAGGTGGGACCCGGCCCCGGCCTCGTGCCTTGGTCCCTCTCCCGGTCCTGGCCCTGATCGCTGGGCTCCCATCCCCATTCTCCATCCCACCCACACCTCCTCTCCCGGTCACTGGCTACTGCCCTTGTCCTGCTCTGTCTCCCCTCCCCATCCCCATCCTGGTCCCATCCCCATCCTGGTCCCATCCCCATCCTGATCCCATCCCCATCCTGATCCCATCCCCATCCTGGTCCCATCCCCATCCTGATCCCATCCCCATCCTGGTCCCATCCCCATCCTGATCCCATCCCCATCCTAATCCCATCCCCATCCTGGTCCCATCCCTTTTCCCTGTCCTGGTCACTATCTCTCATCCCCTGGCCCCAGCATCTGGTCCCATCCCCATCCTGGTCCCATCCATTTTCCCTGCCCTGGTCACCAACTCTCATCCCCTGCCCTGGCATCCAGTCCCATCCCCATCCTGGTCCCCCCACTCTTCCCTGTCCAGGTCTCCCACATCCCCTCTCCTGGTTCATGTCCCTGTCCCAGTGCCACCCCTTGGTCCCATCCCATCCCTGTGTCCCCATCCCCACAATGTCCCTGTCCCACTGTGTCCCCATCCCCACGGTGTCCCCCTGCCCCACGGTGTCCCTGCCCCATGGTGTCCCCATCCCCACGGTGTCCCCCTGCCCCATGGTGTCCCTGTCCCACTGTGTCCCCATCCCCACGGTGTCCCCCTGCCCCACGGCGCCCCGCTGACGCGGTCCCCGTCCCCCAGACACGCTCTCGTACGTGGAGCACATCTTCGAGATCTCGCGCCGCCCGGACCTGCTCACCACGGTCGTGCGGTACCGGACCCACGTGCTCAAGATCTCGGAGGAGGACGAGGTGGACACGAAGCTCACGCGCATCCCCAGCGCCAAGAAGTACAAGGGTGAGGGCACGGGGGCATCCGTGGGGACAGGGGCACCCCATGGGGACAGGGGCATCCATGGGGACAGGGGCATCCATGGGGACAGGGGCATCCATGGGGACAGGGGCATCCATGGGGACAGGGGCATCCATGGGGACAGGGAAACCCCATGGGGACAGGGGCATCCATGGGGACAGGGGCATCCATGGGGACAGGGGGCATCCATGGGGACAGGGGCATCCATGGGGACAGGGAAACCCCATGGGGACAGGGGCATCCATGGGGACAGGGACACCCCATGGGGACAGGGGCATCCATGGGGACAGGGAAACCCCATGGGGACAGGGGGCATCCATGGGGACAGGGGCATCCATGGGGACAGGGGTATCCATGGGGACAGGGGTATCCATGGGGACAGGAAACCCCATGGGGACAGGGGTATCCATGGGGACAGGGGTATCCATGGGGATGGGGAAACCCCATGGGGACAGGGGCATCCATGGGGACAGGGGTATCCATGGGGACAGGGGTATCCATGGGGATGGGGAAACCCCATGGGGACAGGGGCATCCATGGGGACAGGGGCATCCATGGGGACAGGGGCATCCATGGGGAAAATGGGGATGCGGACCCCACATTGTGACAGGGACATCCATGGGGACAGGGAAACCCCATGGGGACAGGGGCATCCATGGGGACAGGGGTATCCATGGGGACAGGGGCATCCATGGGGACAGGGGCATCCATGGGGATGGGGACCCCACATTGTGACAGGGACATCTATGGGGACAGGGAAACCCCATGGGGACAGGGGCATCCATGGGGAGAGGGGGCATCCATGCGATGGGGACCCCACATTGTGACAGGGACATCCATGGGGACAGGGAAACCCCATGGGGACAGGGGGCATCCATGGGGACAGGGGCATCCATGGGGATGGGGACCTCACATTGTGACAGGGACATCTATGGGGTCAGGGAAACCCCATGGGGACAGGGGCATCCATGGGGACAGGGACATCCATGGGGACAGGGTCATCCCATGGGAATAGGGACACCCACGGGGAAAGGGACATCCATGGGAACATCCATGGGGATGGGGTTATCCATGGGGACGGGGTTATCCATGGGGACAGGGATACCCCATGGGGACAGGGGCATCCATGGGTACAGGAACCCCACACTGGGACAGGGACACCCATAGGGACAGGGACACCCCATAGGAACAGGCTCATCCCATGGGAATAGGGACACCCATGGGGACAGGGACGCCCCATGGGGGCAGGAGCACCCCATAGGGAAGGAGACCCTCCATAGGGACAGGGATATCCATAGGGACTGGGACACCTCATGGGAACAGGGTCATCCCATGGGAACAGGGACACCCATAGGAACAGGGACCCGCTATGGGGACAGGGGCATCCTATAGGGACAGGGCCCCTCCATGGGCACAAGCACATTCCATAGGGACAGGAACCTTCCATGAGAGCAGGGACCCCCCCACCACAGAGCCCCCATAGGGGCAGGGACCCCCCCATGGTGCCAATGGGGGGGGGAGCTCCCCTTTAACCCCCCCCCCCCGCAGACATCATCCGGCAGCCATCGGAGGAGGAGATCATCAAACTGGCGCCCCCCCCCAAGAAAGCCTGAGGGGGGGCGGGGCAGGAGGAGGAGGAGCTGAATGGAGGCTGTGCCCCTCCCCCCCCCCAATTCCCACCCCGCCCCCACCCTCCGGCCCTGGGGGGGGAGGGGAGGGGGGGGGCACCACTGTCACTAACCAAGTCTTAACACCCCCCCCCGGGGGGGCCGTGTGTGTGTGATGGGGGGGGGGGCGCTTTGCTATTCCCAGGGGACCCCCAACCCCTCCCCCTCCCCCCATAGCTGGGGGGCAGGGGGGGGGTGACAGCACCGGGACCCCCCCATGGCTCTTGGTTGGGGGGGGGGCACACACAGGGATGAAGGACGGGGCAGGTCGGGAGGGAGGCGAGGAGCAGGTTTGGGGGGGGGGTTCCCCATTGACCCCCCCTGGAGGATGGAGATGAATGAAGCAGGAGGTGATGAGGGGGGGGCACAGTGAGAGCCCTGACGCAGGTGATGGGCAAAGGGGGGGGGACACCCCCAAACCCCCACTTTGAAGGGGGGCCCTGATAGACTGACATTGGAAAGGGGGGGGGGGGTGGAAAATGAGCCCCCCCAGTGCCATGCTGGTAGGGGGGGGGGAGGTCAGCCCCCCCCCAATGTGTGTGTGTGTGTATTGGGGGGGGTTGGGGTCAGCTCTAGCTACTAACCCGGGGGGGGGGGCACTGCAGAGTTTATGTTAATATATTTTATTTAATAAAAGCTAAAACCCGCCCCCCCCGCGCCCCCCCTTTTCATTGGCTCTTACCCCCCCCCACCTTGCTGGGATATAGGGGGGGGTACACACAGAGTGACCCCCATTATTGGGGTCCCTGCTTCAACCCCCCCCCCCCAAGCTTATAAATGGGAGGAGATAAAGGGGGAGCATGGGGGGGGCACAGGGGGGGACACGGGGCCTCTCTTGGCTGCTTTATTGCATTTATATATAATATAGATTCAACTCTTACAATCGATTCCCCACGGGGGGGGGGTTGAACACATATAAAATTAGGCCTCTAACAGTGACCCCCCCCCCATAACCCCCCCAATCCCCCTCCTCCCCCACCCCATAAACCACTCAATCTCTGTCAAAGCAACAGAAAAAGGCTGGGGGGGGAGGGGAGAAGTGGGGGGGGGGGCTTGGGGGGGGCCACACCAAGTGCAAATCACTGATATGTACAAACCAGACAAGCAGCGCTCTGCAACCCCCCCCCCCTCTCCCCACCCCCAATGAGGGGCAATGGGGGGGGCACCCCCATGTATCCCCCCCCCCTCACACCCTTAGTGGGGGGGGGCAGAGCCCTGAAGAGCACAAGGGGAGGATGCTCCCCCCCCCCCAAAAAGTGGGAGAGGGGCTAAGGGCTGGGTTCCCCCCCCCTCTCCAAAAGCAGGATAAAAGGGGGGGCACATTAGTATAAAAATCACACACACCCCCCCCAAAGTGCTGGGGGTGAGGCTGTGCCATGGGATGGGGGGGGGGTGAGGATGGATGGGGGGGGCTTTAAGTCAATCCAAAGCTCCATGTGTTAGTGGGGGTGGTGCGTGGCAAACACCCCCCCCACCCCCCAACACTGCGGTGCTGATGGGGAGGAAAGGGGGGGGTCCGGTTTGGAGGTGGGGGGGGGCTCACGATGGCATACACTGCACCCGGTCCGGGCCTTCCTCCTCCTCATCCGATGTGTCCGAGGAGCTGGGGGACTCATCCGAGTCTGCATCCGGGGCTCCGGGCTCCCGGCGGCGCTGATGGAGAAGGGGGGGTACATAAAAATGGGGTGAATTGGCACCGGGGGGGGCACATAGAGACACCCCCATAGCACCTACACGGTGGTGGCGGCGCTGGCGGAGGTGGTGCATGAGGAACCAGAGCATGTGGCTGTCGAACATGTCAGTGTGGTGCAGGCTGTCCTCATCCCGCTCCAGCTTGTTCTTCTTGATCACCTGCAGGAATTGGGGGGGGTCAAATGGGTTAAAAGGGACCTGCCCCCCATCATTAAAAGGGTGCTGGGTGCTGCTCTCACCTCTCGGAGCCCCGTCAGCTCCGTGGGGGTCTCGGCTGTGGGTGCCCAGATCTTGACGTCGTGGTCCAGGCCGCTGGTGGCCAGGACGGGGAGGTGGGGATGGGGCTCCAGGCAGTTCACCTGCAAGGATGGGATGGGGGGGGATCGTGTCCATTGTGGCCCCCCCTCATGGGTGCCCCAATGTCCCCTCCCAAGGCAGGACCCCCTTTAGGGTGAGTGTGAGGGACCCTGGTGCTGGGATCCATCGGGATGTGGGTGCCTGGATGAGGCAGAAGCACGGCAGTGAGGTCCCCCCTTGCCCCCCAACCAGGAGCCCCCAGGCATGGGATGGAGGCAACACCATGCATGGACCCCATGGCTCTCCCTGTGGTGGCAAACGGGAAAGGGCTGGAGCCAGGGGATGGGAAGGGGCTGGAGCCAGAGGATGGGAAGGGGCTGGATCAAGAGGATGGGAAGGGGCTGGATCCAGGGGATGGGAAGGGGCTGGAGCCAGGGGATGGGAAGGGGCTGATCAAGGATGGAAGGGGCTGGAGCCAGGGGATGGGAAGGGGCTGGATCAAGAGGATGGGAAGGGGCTGGATCCAGGGGATGGGAAGGGGCTGGAGCCAGGGGATGGGAAGGGGCTGGATCAAGAGGATGGGAAGGGGCTGGAGCCAGGGGATGGGAATGGGGCTGGATCAAGAGGATGGGAAGGGGCTGGAGCCAGGGAATGGGAAGGGGTTGGATCCAGGGGATGGGAATGGGAAGGGGCTGGAGCCTTGGATGGGAATGGGTTGGATCCAGGGATGCAAAGGGGCTGGAGCCAGGGGATGGGAATGGGGCTCGATCAAGAAGATGGGAATGGGGCTGGATCAAGAGGATGGGAAGGGGCTGGAGCCAGGGGATGGGAAGGGGCTGGAGCCAGGGGATGGGAAGGGGCTGGATCAAGAGGATGGGAAGGGGCTGGAGCCTGGGGATGGGAAGGGGCTGGATCAAGAGGATGGGAAGGGGCTGGAGCCAGGGGATGGGAAGGGGCTGGAGCCAGGGGATGGGAAGGGGCTGGAGCCAGGGGATGGGAAGGGGCTGGAGCCAGGGGATGGGAATGGGGCTGGATCAAGAGGATGAGAAGGGGCTGGAGCCAGGGGATGGGAAGGGGCTGGAGCCAGGGGATGGGAAGGGGCTGGAGCCAGGGGATGGGAATGGGTTGGATCCAGGGATGCAAAGGGGCTGGAGCCAGGGGATGCGAAGGGGCTGGAGCCAGGGGATGGGAAGGGGCTGGAGCCAGGGGATGGGAATGGGGCTGGATCAAGAGGATGGGAATGGAGCAGGAGCCAGGGGATGGGAAGGGGCTGGATCCAGGGGATGGGAAGGGGCTGGAGCCAGGGGATGGGAAGGGGCTGGAGGCAGGGCTGGGAGCAGGAGGAGCTGGCACTCACCACTCCGCCCTTGTCGCCCTCCATGAACTGCACGATCTGGCAGGAGGACTTCTCCCACAGGAAGATGTGGCCGCAGTCGCTGCCGCTCACCACGAACTCGCTTTTGGGGCCGTAGAAATTCACCCCTTTCACTTGGGGAAGAGGGAAACGGGCACGGGGTGAGGCCAGCGGGAGCTGGGCGCCATTCCCAATGGGAATCCCATCCCTGCTGGAGAGCTTCCAGTGTTCCCAGTGCGGCTCTTCCATCCCCACCATCATAATTCCATCCGGGAAGAGTTTGTGTGGAGGGGATTTGGGAAGGAAACCCAAGCCTTGGGAGCAGCAGGAATTCACCAGAAGCTGGGAATGCCCCCTATAGGTGGGGAGGAGGGGAGGGGGGGGTCCTGCCCTTACCCGTGGCGTTGTTGCGGTGTCCCTTGTACCTCTTGATGTACTCGGCCCCATCACTGTGGGAGGAGTTGAAGAGGTAAATGTCCTCATCGTTGTAGCTGGCCAAGAGCTCTGGGGGGGGACGGGAGAGATGGTGTCAGCACATGGAGGTGCTGACCCCCCCATCACCACCACCACCACCACCACCACCAGTGCTGCGGTCACTCACCAGAGCCATCGTGGCTGTAGACCAGGCAGGTGATGTTGGCTTTGGACTCGCTGTTCACCTGGGGAGAGCAGAGACCTCTGCTTCCTCCTCATCCTCCTCACCCCCATACTGGGAGCTCAACACGCTCCCAACAGCAAGCTATGGGCATGGCCCCAGCCACCCCAGAGCCTTTGGGAGCTTTGGAACAAGGATTGAAGCAAAGGCAGAGCCGTTTGCTCCTGCTACCGAGGGCTCTTGGTCCTTACCAAGTGGTGTGGGCAGAACTTCTTGAGGACGCCGTTGTTCTCGTTCTCATCTATCCTCCTCTGGTCATAAATCCTATGGGAAGATGGGTAAGGATGGATGGATCTGCCTGGAACCTGGGCCAAAGCAGCTCCATGTCCCCCCCCTACTCTTCCTTTGCCACTGCTCTGATGCCATGGGCTGGTTCTGAGCAAGGCCCCCAGCGTTGAGCAGGCTGTGAGCCCATGGGGAGCGTTGCCGTGGCTGACACCACAGGGAGCTGGGATGTGGGTGGGATCACTGGGAACGGTGGCTGGCACTTGCAGCGCTTGGAACCGAGGCAGTCAGTGAGCCTTAATCCCCATGGATGCATCCCAGCAGAGCAGATCCGGGGCTAAACCTCAAAGGATCCAAATCCTCTTCTTTTAATCCTCAAACCATGGAAGGGTTTGGGTGGAAGGGGCCTTAAAGCTCCTCCTGATCCACCCCATTCCCCCAGGCAAGGACAGCTCCCATTAGACCAGGTTGCTCCAACCTTAAAGCCCACCCAATCCCACCCCGTGCTCCTGGGGTTTGGAAGCATTAAGTGCAGCCCATCCCTTAGCACCAGGCGGGGTTACTGGCTGGACTCACCGGATGAACTGGTCTCTGCCCCCCACAGCAAACTGGTAGGTGTTGGCCGGGTTGACGTAGATGGTGTAGAGACCCACCTTCTTCTCCTTCTCCTTGGTCACCACCAGTTTCCTTGAAGAGATGCACAAGAACAATAACAACCCAACACCACCACCACCACCAACAAAACCACCCCCAGTTCCAAGCAGGCTCCAGCTGGGACAGCAGGAGCTGCACAGGCAGCGTGGGATGGATGCCAGGGCAGAAGCGCTTTGCTGCTCTCTTCCCCTCACCCATCTCGTTGTAACAATGCCCACATTTCACACAATCCCATCCTCCCCTTTCCCTCAGGAGCTCCATATTTCAGCTCCAGGGACACAAATACTGGGATTAAAGGTTTGGAAAGGCCCCGGTGGGGTTTTTGTTCTGCTGATGAAACAGGGAAAGCTCCAGGCAAAAGTATTCGCATGGAGGAATGAACCCAAACACCAAAGCTTTGCGTTTAGAGCATCTCCAAAATGAGACTGGAAAAGCACCAGAGACCAAATGCAGGTGGAAACGGTGCTGGACCCTGCAGGGGGGTGTTGCTGTTCCCTGTCTGAGCTTGATCCCATCCCAGGGGGTTCAAATCCCTTGGCCAATGAGCCAGGCTCCCAGAATCATGGAATGGGTTGGGTTGGAAGGGACCTTAAAGCTCATCCAGCTCCAACCCCTGCAATGGGCAAGGACCCCTTCCACTGGAGCAGGATGCTCCAAGCCCCTATGTCCAGCCTGGCCTTGAGCACTGCCAGGGATGGGGCAGCTTCTCCCTTCAACCCATCCCATTGTCCCACCACATTCCCAGGGAAGGATCCACACCCAGGCTGCCCCTGGGGAAGCCAACGTTGTTCAACAGCCTCAAAACACCCCTTTGCCCACTTGCTGCCCATCAAACAGGCACAAAACCAGCAGAACCCACAGCCCTCTTTGGCCAAATCCCCCCCCTAGAGCCCGGATCTCCCTGTGGAGCATCCCTGGGGATGGGAACAGGAAGGACACCACTCACGAGGCAGGCCGGTCTTGTCTCAGGTCGATGGTGAAGACGACAGCATCTTCACCTGCCGATAGGAAAGTGCATGGAGAATCCGGTTCTAGGGCCAGCTGGAAGATAAAGACTTGGCCATTGGTCCCCTTTTCACCCAACAACGTGGCGAGACCCCCTTTGTCCCCCCCCAACAACCGGTAACCGGAGCCCCCGACACCCTCAGAGCCAGGAGGGAGGACCCCGGGGTGTGTTTTGGGGGTCCCCCCCAGGGCTCACCTTGTGCGAGGCTCCCTTGTGCTGGGCCACCCGCTTGGTGTTCTTGCAGCACTGGGTGGCTGAGAGCTCGGCCACACGGACCTGCCCGTCCCGGGCACACATGGCCAGCGTGGAGTCACCGCTGTTGGGCAGGAACTTGGCCTGGAAGGGAGCAAGGGGCCTTCAAGCGAGGGCAGCATCTCTGCCAGCACCCCCTCCATGAGCTTAGATCCATAGGGAATGGCTGCACATCCCCAACTCCATCCTGGCTAAGATAGGGAGATGGGATCCATGGCATGGACACGCTGGAGGGGTGGGAAGAGGGAAGCTCATGGGGCCTGGGGGGGATTTTAGGGCACCCTGATGGGTTTTGAGGGTTCTCACCAGCACCTTCCTCCTGCCCCATCATCCAGCTGGAATTTGGGGCTTCTAAAGCAGGTTTCTGCCCCACCACAGTGGATCTCTAATGGGAAACATCCCTGCCCATTGGGGTTGGAATTGGATGCAGGGAGTTGGAACTGGATGCCCTTAAGGTCCTTTCCAACCCAAACCATTCCAGCATTCTATGATCTTATAATGACAGGACAAGGGGTGATGGGTTCAAAGTGGAACAGGGGAAGTTCAGCCTAGAGATGAGGAAGTTCCTTGCTGTGAGGGTGCTGAGGCGCTGGCACAGGGTGCCCAGAGAAGCTGTGGCTGCCCCATCCCTGGCAGTGCTCAAGGCCAGGTTGGACACAGGGGCTCGCTCCAGTGTGAATCATCCCTTCCCATAGCATGGATGGAACCGGAGGCCCTTCCCAACCCATTCCATCCCCCATCTCCTCCTCACCTGGAACACGTTGCTCTTGTGACCACTCTCAAACTCCAGCACCGGCCTCCTCCTCACCCAGTCCCAGACGACGACGCGGAGGTCGTCGCTGCCGCTGGCCAGCCAGGTGCCGCGCTGGTTAAAGTGCAGGGTGTTAACGCAGCCGGTGTGGGCCTCGAGGCCGTGCTGCAGGCGGAAGCGTTGCACAAAGACCCGGGCCCCGCAGGCCTCGTGCACGAAGCGGTTGCTGGAGCCCAGCTCGCGGTGCCGCAGCGCCGGGATCGCCCTCCAGCGCGGCCGCGGTAGCGCCGATGTCTCCGAGGACACCCACTCCTCCAGAGCCTGCTCGTCGTCCGACGAGTCCTGCTCGTGGTTGGTGCGCTTGCGTTGGGCTCGGCGCTGCGCTCGCTGCTCCTCCTCCTCTTCCTCTTCCTCCTCCTCCTCCTCCTCATCCGAGGGCGAGCGGTCCAGGGCCCGGCTCTCCTCGGTGATGGAGTAGTGACCGGTGTCATCCATGCTGTCCGAGTCCTTCTCCTCGGCCGAGCTCTCCGTGTCCGTGTCCCGGCTCGTCTCCATGCTGGCGCGGTTGGGCCCCACGTCGTCACCCGTGAGGCTCAGGCTCAGGTCTGAGGCCTCCACCTCGATGCCCGAGGAGGTTTCCCGGCCCTCCTCTGCTGACATCTCCTCGGGGCTGCTGGACAAGCTGCCTGTGGGTACGCACACACCCCATGAGGGGACATGGGGGCACTGGGGGGGGGCATAAGGGGGTGGCCGTCACCGTGGCCTTACCGTTCACGATGTCTGTCTTCCCGTCCATGCTGCTGCCTCTGTCCGACATGGTGGGATCGGGAGCGCTCAGCCTGTGGGGACAGAGACAGTGTGGGCTGAAGGGACCTGAAAGCTCCTCCAGGTCCTTCCACTGGAGCAGGATGCTCCAACCTGGCCTTGAGCACTGCCAGGGATGGGGCAGCCACAGCTTCTCTGGGCACCCTGTGCCAGCGCCTCAGCACCCTCACAGGGAAGAGCTTCTGCCTAAGAGCTCAGCTCAGTCTCCCCTCGAGCAGGTTCAAGCCATTCCCCTTGCCCTGTCCCTGCATCCCTTGCCCCAAGCCCCTCTCCAGGTTCCCTGCAGCCCCTTTAGGCTCTGGAGCTGCTCTGAGCTCTCCCCTTCAGGAGCCTTCTCTTCTCCAGGCTGCCCCAGCCCAGCTCTCTCAGCCTGGCTCCTATGGGAGCTGCTCCAGCCCTCGCAGCAGCTCCATGTCCCTCTGGTGCTGCTGCCCCAGAGCTGGATGCAGGATGCGGGGCAGGGGGGATGCTCCCAGCACCCAGGGCGGTTCTGATGGCTCATGGGGAGCTTCTCCTCACCCAGCACCCCCAGTCCCTCCCCTGAGGGCTCTGCTAAGAGGAGGAAAGCAGGTTCTGTGCCCTTTGCTCTGCCTCAGCCTCCACCAAGGGGAGGTGATGGGACCATGGGGCTGGGATGCACTCAGCACCTGGAGGCAACGTCTGGGTTGGATCAGAGCTCCCAGCACCTGGAAAACACCGCTCTGTGCATCACAGCCACTGGGATCAGGCTCCAGACCCCAAACCAGCAGCATCAACCCCAACAGGAGGCCATGCCTTCCATCCCGAGCTCCATCCCAACCTGTAAGGCTGGGAGCCTGAGGGACACAGGCCCTGCTCCATGAAGCAACCAGCTCCGGTACCTCGCTGCTCTGCTGCATCCATGAGTGCATCCCTCCATCCTCCACCCTTCCCTCCATCCTCTCTGCTCCACAGGGCCCGCAGGCCTCAGCAGCACCATTCCAGGCACAGGGAATGCCGTGACCCCGCTCCCGTTGCATTTACCCCCAGCTCACAAGCACTGCCTTCCCCATCCAGCTCCCAGCAGGATGGATGCTCCTGGCTTCCCAAGGGCAAGGAAAGCCCAACCAGCTAGGAGAATCCCATAGGAGCAAACCCTATGGATCCCACTCACCTGCACGGGGCTGCAGGAACAAGGGCTGGGAGCTCCTTGGCAGCTGATGGGAACAAGAGGTTAAAGCAGGGACCGAGCCCCTGCTCCCTCGGGAACCCCCCAGGGACAACGGGATCTGTCCTGGGATGAGGATGGGGACAAGGGACAGGGGTTGGGGCCTGACGGTGGCACCTGGGAAGGAGCCCGGGGGGGGGGGGGGGATGGGCCCAGACCCTCAGCACCCTCCTAAGAGACAAAGACACCACAAAAGTGACAGGGACAGGAGGGAACCCCCGGATCCTGGGGGAGGAGGGAAGCCCCCGACCCCTTTTAAGCCCTTTGGGGCAACAGGAACCTGCCCTGGGGGTAAAACAGCGCCCACCTCAAAGGCACAGGGACCCCCCTTAAAGGGGGAGAAACCACTCAGGACCCAGAAGGGACCCCCCCAAAGACACAAGGATTCCCCTTAAAGGGAGAGAAACCCCTCAGGACCCAGAAGGGACCCCCCCAAAGGCACAAGGATCCCCCTTAAAGGGGAAGAAACCCCACAGGACACAGAAGGGACCCCCTCCAGAGGCACAAGCACGGCCCCCAAAGCAGCACGGACCCCCTTAAAGGGGCAAAGACCCCCTCGGGTGCAGGAAGGACCCCCCCCAAAGCAGCAGGGCCGCCCCCCCCCAGAGGCCCAGCGCCCTTCAGGCCTCAGCGAGGCCCCCCCCATGCCCGCTGACCCCCGGGCCTACGGACGCTGCCGCTGCCACCGCCTCCCCCGAAGGCCTCTCGGAACCCCCCCCCCCGTTACCCCCGCGGACCGGGATACCGGAGCCGCCGGTGGGGCCCGGAGGGACTCGGACGGCGGGGGGGGGCCCGCACGCACCCGGTCCCGCGGTGCCGGCTCCCTTCAGGCGCAGGGGGCAGCGGCCGCTGCTCGGGCCCCGGCTGCAGGCCCCGCCGCCGCCATCTTACTGCGCCGCCTCCGCCGCTCGCCTTACGGCACCGCCGCCGCGCTTTACGGCAACGGAGGGGGGGAGGGAGGGAGGGAAAAGCTGCTGCGCGACACCCGCGCGACAGAGGCCCGACATCGCGGTCGTCATGGCAACGGTGACCCCGACTCCCCCCCCCTCCCCCCTTTAGAGTTATTGTAGGGTCTTCATGTGCCCCCCCCCATGTTATTGTAGGGTCTCCCTGTGACCCCCCAATGTTATTAGTGCCCCCCCATGTTATTGTAGGGTCTCCTTGTGCCCCCCCCATGTTATTGTAGGGTCTCCTTGTGCCCCCCATGTTATTAGTGCCCCCCCCCATGTTATTGTAGGGTCTCCATGTGCCCCCCCACATGATATTGTAGGGTCTGCTTGTGACCCCCCATGTTATTAGTGCCCCCCCCATGTTATTTGTGTGCCCCCCCATGTTATTGTAGGGTCTCCATGTGCCCCCCATGTTATTAGTTGCCCCCCCATGTTATTGTTGCCCCCAGTTTGGTCTCCATGTGCCCCCCCATGTTATTAGTGCCCCCCCATGTTATTTGCCCCCCCCATGTTATTAGTGTGCCCCCCCATGTTATTGTGGGGTCCATGTGCTATTTATTGTAGGATCTCCTTCTGACCCCCCCATGTTATTGTAGGGCCTCCTTGTGCCCCCCATTTGTTAGTTGCCCCCCCGTTATCACTGCCCCCCCATGTTGGTTTGCCCCCCCGTTACACTGCCCCCCCATGTTATTGGTGCCCCCCGTTATCACTGCCCCCCCATGTTATTAGTGTGCCCCTCCATGTTCCTGTAGGGTCTCCATGTGCCCCCCCCCCATCCTGCCCCCCTTTCCCCCTCCAGGCACCATCACCCTCACCAACACCTTTATTGGGGCCATCGAGGGGGGGGTCACACACGTCCCCATTGTCCGGTTGGGGGAGGGGGGTGCACCCCCCATGACCCCCAGCAGCCCCCCCCCGGTGCGGGATGGCTCCTCCTCCTCTTGGGGGGGGGGGTCCCCTACATGAGGCTGCACTGCTCCCCCCCCGGCAGCTCCATGTTGAACCCGGGGGGCTGCCGGGGGGAACGGGGGGGGGGCGGGGGTCAGATGGGGTCTGGGTGCTCAAAGGGGGGGGGGTCCGCAGGGCCCCCCCCCCCCCCCCCAAAACCTAGGGGTGCCCCCCCCCCCATGGCACTCACCGTCTCCCCGGCCAGTTCCTTGGGTGGGTGCCCCAGGTCCTGCAGCTGGGGGGGGGGACACAGGGGGGTCAATGGGGGGGGGTGAAGGGCATGGGCGGGGCAGGGTCTTTTTGGGGGTGTCTCGGGGGGGTCAGGGTGGTTCTGGGTGCAAAAGGGGTTGGGGAGTGCATGGGGGGGGTCAGGGTGCCTTGGGGGGGGGGTTCAGGGTGGTTCTGGGTGTCTCAAAGGGTGTCCCAGGGTCTCTATGGGGGTCTCTATGGGGGTCCCAGGGTTTCTGGGGGTGTCTATGGGGTCTCTGCATATCCCTATGGGTGTCTATGGGGTCTCTATGGGTGTCTGTGGGTGTCTCTATGGGTGTCTATGGGGTGTCTGTCTCTGTGGGTGTCTCTATGGGTGTCTACGGGGTGTCTCTAGGTGTCTCTATGGGTGTTCCAGGGTCTCTGGGGGTCTCTTTGGGGGTGTCTATGGGGTGTCCATGGGTGTCTATGGGGTCTCTGGGGGTGTCTCTGGGTATCTCTATGGGTGTCTGTCTATAGGTGTCTATGGGGTGCTTGTCTCTGTGGGTGTCTCTATAGGTGTCTATGGGGTGTCTGTTTCTGGGTGTCTCTATGGGTGTCCCAGGGTCTCTGGGGGTGCCTATGGAGGTGTGTTTGGGGGTGTCTCTGGGGTCTCTGTGGGTGTCTATGTATGTTGGTGGGTGTCTGTATCTGTCTCTGGGGGTCCCTAAGGGGGTCTATGTGTGTCTATGGGGGTCTATGGGGGTCTCTATGGGGTTCTATGTGTGTCTATGGGGGTCTGTGGGGGGTCTCTATGGGGGTCTATGTGTGTCTATGAGGGTCTGTGGGCATCTCTGGGGTCCTTATGGGGGTCTATGTATGTCTATGGGGATCTATGGGTGTTTCTGGGGGTCTCTATGGGGGTCTATGGGTGTCTCTGGGGGTCTCTATGGGGGTCTATGTGTGTCTATGTATGTCTATGGGGGTCTGTGGGTGTCTCTATGGGGGTCTATGTGGGTCTATGGGTGTCTCTGGGGGTGTCTCTGGGGGTCTATGTGGGGCTGTGGGTGTCTCTGGGGGTGTCTATGGGGGTCTGTGGGTGTCTCTGGGGGTCTCTATGGGGGTCTATGGGGGTCTATGTGGGTCTGTGGGTGTCTCTGGGGGTCTCTATGGGTGTCTATGTGTGTCTATGGGGATCTATGGGGGTCTATGGGTGTCTATGGGTGTCTCTGGGGGGGTCTATGGGTGTCTATGGGGATCTATGGGGGTCTATGTGTGTCTATGGGTGTCTCTGGGGATCTCTATGTGTGTCTATGGGGATCTATGGGGGTCTATGTGTGTCTATGTGTATCTATGGGTGTCTCTGTGGGTCTCTGTGGGGTTCTATGTGTGTCTATGTGTGTATATGAGGATCTATGGGGGTCTATGTGTGTCTATGGGGGTCTATGGGGGTCTCATGGTGTCTATGTGGGTCTATGGGGGTCTATGTGTGTCTATGGGGGTCTATGGGGGTCTCTATGGGGGTCTATGTGTGTCTATGGGGATCTATGTGTGTCTATGTGTGTCTACGGGGGTCTCTATGGGGGTCTATGTGTGTCTATGGGGTGTCTATGTGTGTCAGGGGTCTCTATGGGGGTCTATGTGTGTCTACGGGGGTCTCTATGGGGGTCTATGTGTGTCTATGTGTGTCTATGGGTGTCTCTGTGTGTCTATGTGTGTCTATGGGGGTCTCTATGGGGGTCTATGTGTGTCTACGGGGGTCTCTATGTGGGTCTATGTGTGTCTATGTGTGTCTATGGGTGTCTCTGTGGGTCTCTGTGGGTCCGCACCTGCTGCATGAGCCCCAGGAGGCTCTCGAAGCGCTGCCTCCGCTCCTCCTCGCCCTCCCCGGGCCGCTCCCCCTCCAGCTGCCGGCAGATGCGGGCCATGACGCGGAGCTGGGCCCGGTACCGCTCGTACTGCTCGGCCGGGAGCGCGGCCCCGTGCCGCTGGAGCCACTCCGGGTACTGCGGGGACAGCGCCGGTCACAGGCGGCGACCCGGCGGGACCGGTGACACCAGCGCCCCCCAGCGGGACCGGTGACACCAGCGCCCCGCAACGGGACCGGTGACACCAGCGCCCCCCACCGGTAACGGTGACACCAGCGCCCCCCAGCGGTAACGGTGACACCAGCGCCCCCCACCGGTAACGGTGACACCAGCGCCCCCCAGCGGTAACGGTGACACCAGCGCCCCCCACCGGTAACGGTGACACCAGCGCCCCCCAGCGGGACCGGTGACACCAGCGCCCCCCAGCGGGACCGGTGACACCAGCGCCCCCCAGCGGGACCGGTGACACCAGCGCCCCAGCGGAACGGTGACACCAGCACCCAGTGGTACCGGTGACACCAGCGCCTCCCAGTGGGACCGATGACACCAGCGCCCCCCAGTGGGACCGGTGACACCAGCGGCGCCCCCCAGCGGGACCGGTGACACCAGCGCCCCCAGGACCGGTGACACCAGCGCCCCACCCCCCCAACCACCAGGCCCCCAGACCGGTGACACCAGCGCCCCCCAGGGTACCGGTGACACCAGCGCCCCCCAGCGGGACCGGTGACACCAGCGCCCCCCAACCACACCAGCGCCCGGACCGGTGACACCAGCGCCCCCCAGCGGGACCGGTGACACCAGCGCCCCCCAGTGGTACCGGTGACACCAGCGCCCCCCAGCGGGACCGGTGACACCAGCGCCCCCCAGCGGCACCGGTGACACCAGCGCCCCCCAGCGGTACCGGTGACACCAGCGCCCCCCAGCGGGACCGGTGACACCAGCGCCCCCCAGCGGGTACCGGTGACACCAGCGCCCCTCAGTGGTACCGGTGACACCAGCGCCCCTCAGTGGTACCGGTGACACCAGCGCCCAGCGGGACCGGTGACACCAGCGCCCCCAGTGGTACCGGTGACACCAGCGCCCCGCACGGACCGGTGACACGCGCCCCCCAGCG